CCCCCCCCCCCCCCCCCCCCCCCCTTCCCCCCTCTCTTCTCTCTCCTCTCTCTCTCTCTCTTCTCTTTCTCTCTCGTATGTGCTAACCAGATAGAGAGAGAGAGAGAGAGAGAGAGAGAGAGAGAGGTGTCTTCTGGTCTGGCGTGAAGACGTAGCAGGCGAATAGTAACTTGATTAGAGGAGAGAACGGTCGATTCATTAGTATAGCAATATAATTGGCTTCCTTCCCCCTTCCCTTCACGCTATCTCGCTCTCTCTCTCTCTCTCTCTCTGTCTTCCTCTCTTGCTCTCTCTCTCTCTCTCTCTGTCTTCCTCTCTTGCTCGGTCGCTCTCTCGCGCGCGCTCGCTCATTCGTTCACTCGCTCGCCCGCTCTCCTTTAATACACTCGCATTTCATCTGGCTTAAACGCACGCACACGCATATACTATCTCTCGCACACACGCGCATGCACGCACGCGCGCACCCACACACGCACACGCACACGCACACCCCAAACCCCCACACACGCACACACGCACGCACACACGCGAGTGCACGCACACACATTCTCTCTGACCCCCTCATCCCACTCCGCCTACGACTGCTTACATCGTTGTCGAACAATTTCTAGGAATATGGGCGTTCAGGTTTGGAAAATTTTCCTAATGTTTAAAACATGAAATAGCGATACGCAGCACCGCTAGACGTCGCATCACGCGCGCAAAGCACGCTCGTGTCACGGCGCCCCTTTCTTCGCTTCCCGGCCTTACTAGCATGCAACCTTGTCGCACCCGCGTTACCCAAGTCGAACGCTCACCATTGTGACGTCACGCCACGCCAATCGCCATCTTCGATTATCGTGACGACGAAGGAAAATTGAGCAACTAACGTCACGCCGGGGTATGGCCAAACTACCGGTCCGCTAGCATCGAACACGAACAAGGGCCTGCTACCCGTGCGCGGAAGCCGGGGTGAACTACTGCCGGTGTTTGCAGCGCGAGGCCTGGCTGATTCTCGTTAGGGCACGCTCTGCGAGAAATCGAGAAATCGATAATATTGATCTCGCACGGCATCGATCAAACGAGATCGCGGAAGATTACGGGCCGAGGAGAGACGCGGGTGACGGGAGCGCGGGAAAATTTCCCGCCAAAACCATTATTTCGCGTCGGACGTTAGAAATTCATCTATTCAAGAGTAAGGTTTTTTTTTATCCGCGCTCGTTCTCTCCTTTATTTCTGTTCCCCCTCGCTCCCTTTCCTTCTTCCTACTCGCTCCCCTCCATCACATCTGCTCGCCTCTCGCTCCCCTTTCGCCCACGTCTCTATATTGTCGTCGTCGCGTATCTGACCGCGAACTCATCAATTAATTGTAATTCATTAAACCGTCAGACACAACAGCGGCGGCGGCCGGCAGAAGGAAAGAAAGAAACGGAAAAAACGCGTACGCGAATGAAACCGTGCCAGTCATCTGCACGCCGACGTGATCCGACGTTGTCGTCGCTAGGCGGCTTAAAATCAATTTCGTCGTCGATCGCCGCGATAATAAAAAAGAATCGGGGCAGGGGGCGGATGCGATCCGAGCTGCTAAATTGAAGCTCTCTTCTTGCGAACGAAATGAATGATATCAGTCAACGCGCGCCCCGCCGCCATTTCATGCGTTGATCGGCTCTCTCGCTCTGCCGTCCCCCACCTACGCCCCGCCGTCGCCCCGTCGCCCGCCGACGCAGACACGTCGACAAGAAGACAGCTAGCGCGCGGCCGTAGATGCGGCGGACGTCGGCGACCAGATGCGAAGCACTCATAACGACGTGTGCAACAGCGGCAGTGGCTGGCCGGATTAACATGTATTATATATTATATTGATATATATTGATATATATTGATATATGAGTATATATATATTGTAAAAATTAGAAGTAAAAATACACGGACACCCGTACAGATATAGTAAAATATCATTATATAAATATATAATTATATTTTGCGAACTTTTAAGAACATGTCTCTTCATCAGGCTCGTCCTTATGAAAATGTTAGATACATATATATATATATCTTTTGCACCGCAGTAACACCCTTCACCACTAACCTCCTTCTCCTCCGCAGCAACCCCCATCTCGCTAACCTCCTCCCTCTCTTCCTTCTTCTCCTTCTCAATCTCCTCTTCCTCCTCCTCCTCCTCCTCCTTGTCCGCTGAGCAAACACCTTCACACCAATTCTCCCTTCTCCTCCGCCAGCAACCCCTCTCGCTAACTCTCCTCCCTCTTCCCTTCTGCTCCTCCTCAATCTCTTTCGTCTCTCCTCCTTCTCCTCCTTTGTCCGCTAGCAACACCGCTTCATCCTACTAATTCTTCCCTTCTCATCCGCTAGCAGACCGCCACCTCACTAATACCTCCGTCCGCCTCTTTCTTCTTTCTCCGCCTCCTCCTCCCTCTTTTGCTGTTACACTCCACACGTGCGATTAACATCATTTTTCTCTGGTCATGAAACCCCACCCGCGCCGAACAGCACACCGCGCGCAGATTCGTAATGCCCCATTATAGGCCGCCCGGCTCCGCTACCTAGCGTTCGACGCTCACGGTCGACGACGGTGCTAGCCTCGTACAGTCGCGAAGCGGCTCCGCTCTCGAACACGACCGTGCCGAGCGTCGTGCCTGCCCACGCGATCGAAGATCGAGAGGACGTGAAACGCTGGAAAGCCGCTTCATCGGTCGCGTCGATGTGGACGTTCGTCGGGCTGTCTGCGGTCGTCCTCGATCCGTCATTCTAATCTCTGCTGGCGTGTGTCGTGCCGCCAGGAGGTCGAGAGGTCTACGGTGCCCGAAGATGGCGGCCGCTCGTCGCGAGGCGCGGGCCGGAAGCAACGACGGCGCAGACACTACGCTATATCAAGGCGCGTGGGGGGCCCCCGAAGCGTTCATGATAATATTT